GCTCTAATATCATCCCCATTTTTCCGACGAGGAAACAGGTTAAGAGAGGTGAATCACCTGCCCAAGTATATACAGCCTGTAAGTGAGTAGAAAGGGATTTGAGCCCACAGAGTCTGATGACAGAGTCCATACCCATAACTGCTTTAATCAAGGGAGTTTGTGAGTTGTCTAGGTCTCAAGAAAGGAAAACCAACTGATTTGGCTGGGCAGGGCCCTGAGGGAGAGGGAGAGAAAACACTCTGACTCCTTCTCCCATTTTCCATTCTTTTTCTGGAAGGTAATTGCTTGGGGCAGTGACAACCTCCTGGTGAATTACACAGCTGGTTTCCCAGTGAGATTTGTAACAACAACCCCGCCAGCCTGGCAGCCCCCAGCAAGTTCCGGTTTAAGAAACGAATTGCTGGATTGTGTAGTTGGTGCTAAATTGGGTAATTTCTTGGTGACGGCATCTGTGCCATTTCTTCCATTCCCGGATAGATTCGAGCTGCATCAGAGATGAATTTGTCACACACAGCACCCTCCCAGACTCCTTCACTCTCCACTTTCCAGCCAGCCATAGGCTACTGCAAAAGTGGCTGCTTCCCTCGGCCCCCAGGTTCACAATCTGGGCAGCTCTATGTGTCCTGAGAGTGATTGGATGACTTGGTGCAATAAAAATGGAAAAATAACACCAGCACCCAGAATTGTCACAGGACTTCAGGTAGCATCCTTTATTCTATACTAATCTGACCTTGGACTTGGTATAAACTCAGCGCTCACCACACATGGGAAAAGGCTAAATCACACTCTGGTTAGGTCTGGAAGATATGTATGGATGAGGTCTTTTTATTTGTTTGTGTGCTTTAAAAAAATAGATTCACTTTCATTACTCTGTTCACTTCGTAATGGTATTGAGTAAGTTTGACTTCTCTGGGCTGGCAACATAGACAGGAGAAAAGCTAATGCTTTGAAATCGGCCAACACTGGATTTGACTTCTGGCTTTGACAGCAGCTCTCAGTGTGACTTTGGGGAACTCAGTTAGTTTCTCCAAACCTCAGTTTCTTCTTCTGTACACTGGAAGGTGGAGGGGGCGGATAATGTCTATCCCTTGAAACAGTTTTGGGACTCTCATAAAATATCATAAATGAAAGGCTCTCGTTTTGTAGACTCACATTCACTCAGCAAATGTCTGCCATATGCTAAGCATTGTTCTAGGGATGGGGAGAATTCAGTGGATAAGATGGATAAAATTCCTGCACTTATGGGGAGCTAACATTCTAGTGGGAGAGACAGACGATCTAGGAGTCACAGAAATTTAAAATGGTAACAATATAAGGGACAGGTACATGGTGCCTTGAGAGCAAACAGCAGGGGGATCTGACCTAGTCAGGGAGGCCAGAGAAAGCTTCCCTGAGGAAGCAACAACTGGGCTGAGATCTGAAGGGTGTGTAGGAGTTAGCAAGGCAGAGGTGGGTAGGAAAAGCTTTCCCAACAGGGGGAATAGGCCCCGTGATGCGAGGGATCATGGGACTGACAAAAGACTGTCCTGGCTGCTGCAGAGAAAGCAAGGGGAGCATGTTTTGAGAGGATGTTGGAAAAGTAGGAAGGGCCAGACCCTGCGGGCCTTGTTGGACAAGTGAAACCATTTTATCCTAAGGACATCAATCAGCCAGTGAAGAGTTTTAAGCAGAGGCGTGACATGATCAGATTTGCATTTCCAAATGGCCATTTGGATTGGAGCAGGGTAAGAATGAAAGCAGGGAAGCCGGGCGCGGTGGCTCAAGCCTGTAATCCCAGCACTTTGGGAGGCTGAGGCGGGTGGATCACGAGGTCGAGAGATCGAGACCATCCTGGTCAACAAAGTGAAACCCCGTCTCTACTAAAAAAAAATACAAAAATTAGCTGGGCATGGTTGTGCGTGCCTGTAATCCCAGCTACTCAGGAGGCTGAGGGAGGAGAATTGCCTGAACCCAGGAGGCGGAGGTTGCGGTGAGCCGAGATCGCGCCATTGCACTCCAGCCTGGGTGACAAGAGCGAAACTCCGTCTCAAAAAAAAAAAAAAAAAAAAGAAAGCAGGGAGACCAGTTAGGAGAAGATGTGCAGACATGCAGGCAGGAAGGAGATGGTGTTCTCAGGGACAGTTGGATTCATTAGCCGTGCTTTCTGCTGCAAATACTACAGGAAATCTGGCCAACAATGGTTTAAATAAAGAGCGCATTCCTTATCACATATAGACCCGGAGTAGAGCAACTGTTCATGTTGGTTCCATGGCCTGATGATGCCAGGACTGACATCTCTGCCATTCTCTAGGCCTTTCGTGGTGGCAAGATAGCGGTCCTAGCTCTGGCCATCATGGTTGTAGTCAGGCCAAAATGGAGGGGAGGAAAGATGGCACTAGCAAGTCCTACCCCTTTGGTCACAAAGGCAAAATCTGTCCTAGAAACCTTCATCATATTTCCATGTATATATCACTAGCCAAAATGAAATCGCATGGCCTCTAGTTACAAAGGAGGCTGGGATAAGGACGAGGAGGCTGGGAGTGGGTTTTAGCGAGTCAGCTGACAAAGATTTGATGGATATGGAAATAAATGGGCACATCTGTTTTTTAGGAAGCAAACTCCATAGGACATGGTGATGGATTGAATTATTAGTCCCTTCCTCACTTGTTTTTCCCTCCTATTGATTTTGTTTAGTAATGGAGTGAAGGCAGGCAGTGTGGGGGGATGAAGGCAGGTGGTGTGGGGGGATGAATGTGATCATAAAGCATAACATATAGGAAGAACCCAGTTGTTAATTAAATATTTTCTTTAGAAAAATCCACAAATTGGATATCTCCTGCTCCCAGTAATTTGGATTTGATTATATTGTTTACTATTTGGACATTGGGGATTTTGGAAATCCAAAAGAAAGGCTTCTCATGAAGGATTACACTGTATAATCTTTTAGAGTTTGTAAGAGTTATTGTGTTATTTGATATCCATTAAAGTCCTAGGAGATATGTGAGCAGGTATCCTGAGGCTTAGGGAGGGTAGGCCACCTCTGGTATGTCAGGTGTCACATACATTCTGATCTCAGGACCTGTGCTTTTTCCACTAAACAGGTCTGCCCTGTAGGACCTGGGTAAAGGCTAAAGGCGTTGAGGGTTGGTCTGTCTGGAGAAGGCAGCAACTACTGGGCTTATCTTCTCCAAGACAAGAGCAAGGAGAACGTGGATTGATGCCAAAGGGGCTGAGGTTTGATAAGGCCTTGGTGAAAGCCGAGTGGCCTGCCAGCAGCACCTGTGTGAAGCAGGAGACAGAGGGGCACCTAGGAATGTCCACCACTGGGAAGTTCTGTGAGGCTCCAGCTTGACGTCACCACACACAGAACAAATGGGACAGTCTGGGCTTCTGCCAAAGTGGCCTTTTGTGCTGTGAGTCTCAGATATAGGTCCTGCCTGCGGCAGGAAGAGGGAAGAGAATGACATGGATGAAGGGCCAGGCTATCCTTCTGCCTTCTTTTCAAGGCAGAGAGATGCTTCCAGGTGCGTTTCCAACAACTGCTTGAAAGGCCATCTTGATCTGAAATTCCCCGTTTCCCCAAAGAAAGGTAATGGAGGAGAATTGTCATCCAGAGCCAGGCGGTTGGTATCTATGAGGTCACCCCAGTCTTCCTTCAGGCAGGGTAACCAACAGCTTCCACAGTCCAGGTTCCAGGGTGGGCCAGGGCTGGGCATGTCTCACCCTGTCCTCTATGGAAGATTCTCAGGAAACCACAATCTTCTTCATTGTCTCACATCCTTCAGGGTCAGGAAGTTCTTCCTGATGTCTCACTGTGCCTCTTCCACTACTATTAATCATGCTTGCAAAGCTAGCTGTTCTTCCTGATGTCCCTGTGTCTAATAATGGCATCATTAGTCTTCCAGTCACGGCTGCTGCAAACTTCAGAGTCATCTTCCTTTTTGATTTTCTCTCTCCTATTCCCACTGTTTGCCGTTCCCTGTCTGCCAGAACTCTCTGAGCCCACCCCTTAGAATTCCCTGTTTGCACACTTCTTCTGCCTGTGCTTGCTGTTTCCTCACAGGGTAGGTTCTCTTCCCCACCACCTCTGTGTGTGGGACACACAGACATCTTGTACTCCATCACAAACACCCTCTCCCCTGAGAAGTCTTCCTTGATTGCCCTCTATTGAATCTGATCCTGTCTTCATCTGAAGTAGACCAACATTTTGGTACCTCTCTCCAGCACAGTCGTTTATTCGTCTACTTAGTGAATGCTTATTAAGGGCTGGCTCTGGGCAAAGCCCTGGGTTAGGTGCTGGAGATCCAGAGATGAATAGGATTTGGTTTCTATCCTGCAGAAGACCACATTCTAGGTGGGGAGACAGAAACCGAAACAGACATTTTCAATGCAGTGTGATAGCTGCTTTCATGGGGACACCCAGGGTGTTATAAAAGCCCAGTAAAGAGCATAACCTAGAATAAGAGCACAGAAAGTCTTCAAGGGAAGGTGGGGCTTAATATGAGTAAGTGTTAGCCAGGGGGAGGGCTTTGAGGTGGATGAAAGGACATTCTAGGAGGAGGGAACAGTTTGTGCAAAAATAAAGTGGCCTGTAATAACTCTGTCACGTGAGAAGTTGTTCCCCTGTTAAACTACAAACTCCTCGAGGACAGGGACCACTCTTAAATCACCTATATAACTTCTCACTCTCTTGCTTATGGTAGCTGCTCAACAAATGTTTGTGGAATGGAATAATATTTGAGGGCAATGGGGGGAAAAAAAAAATGCAGTGGCTCAGCACCATGGACAGATCCCACAGACACCTACAGTTGGAGGTAGTCCAACCTGTACGCACATTTGCATGTATTTGCATAATGAAGCCAACCTCATTTCCCTGGGGGTTCAAAGGCTCTGCATCATGGGGGATCTAGTCAGTCCAGTTTGGGGGGTTGGGAAGGGAAACTGTCAGGGCCAGAGACCAGTCCTCTGAGGACTGAGGGAGTCTGGTCCCTTTTGCTTACCACCCTTTCCTTTTCCATCAGGAGCCAGTGGTCCTGAGCCTTCTGAAGTTAGGATTCTGCCTGGTGGTGGGGATCCTGACATCAAGGATGGGACACCGTGGATGGTGAGTGATAGAATAGTCTGGGAGACGGGGATTAGACTCAGGTTTGAATCTTGATCCAAAGTGACTCATCCACTTATTGGCTTTGTGACCTCACCATTTTGAGCTCAATTTTCTCATGGGTAAGTGTGGATAATATCTACGTCACAAGATTTCAGTGAGATTAGAGAATATCAGGTATGCACAGTACCTGGTATATAGCAAGTGCTTGGGAAATAGTAGGAGATGAGCGGTGAGCAGGATCTGGAAGAAAGGTGGATGTGGGGAGGTGGTGGTAGGGAGAAAGAGAATGAGTCTTGGAGGTGCTGCTGTCTGGAGTCTTTGAGGCTGTCATCCCTCCTAGTCAGCAGATGGCCCAGGAGCCTGGTCGAGGATGAGGGAGGGCACCGTCTGCCAGCTCCTCTGCCCCTGTCCCTCCTGCTGTCACTCCCTCCTGCTGTAGCTCCTGTCCTGGCAGCTCCTGGAGTCCTGATTGGAGGCAGCTCTTGCTGAGAGCTGACCTCTCTGTCCTGTAGCCTTGGAAAGCCTGGGATGGGGGCCAGGAGCACTGGTTCCAGAGTTTTTTCTCCATTGTTTCCTTCCTTGCTTTCCCTCTGTTCCTGGGAGGAGGAACTCCTGGGTTCCAATCCCTGTTTAGGATTCAGATGCTACTATGTGTAGCTGCTGTTCTTCTTCTTTATGGATTTTCCTCCTTCGTGATTCCCCTCCAGTGGAATGGGAGTGGAGGGTGGGGGTAAAAGGCAAAAGGGGAAATTTCTTGGGGGGAATATTTGGAACTCAGAAGAGGAACGAGAAAGAGTCATCTCAGGTTCTCCTTCTTATTTCAGTCCGCAGGGGAGGGAGAATGAGCCTACAGCCAGATGGAATGCACAGGATGTGGAAGGAAGGGGAGGGGTTTTTCTGCGGGATGGTGCTGGATATGTAGATTTGGGTCCAGTGTTCTCTTTCTTCATAGCAGCTGGGAGCTGTGACCCTGAGGCCTGGCTCTTGCAACAGTGGGATGTAGAGCAGAGTTGGGGTAGAGATGTGGCTATGGATCTATTTGCCTAATGCCAGCTTGTGAAAAGCTAGTTCACCTAAAGACTGGTTTCTCTGAATATTTTATGTTTTCTTGGGTATCCTTTTGTTTCTGGTAATCTAAGGATACCCACACCCCAAAGTACATATATATATATTTATACATAAATGTTCATATATTTATATATATGTATACATAAATATTTCTATGTATATAAAATATATATGCATTTATAAATATTAATATACATTTACAAATATAAACATAAATATATATAAATTTGGAGGCCAGGTCTCACTCTGTTGCCTCGGCTGGAGTACAGTGGTATAAAACAGTCATACTTCACTACAGCTCTGAGCTCTTGTGCCCAAGTGATCCTCTCTCCTCAGCTTTCCAAGTAGCTAGAACTACAGGCATGTGCCACCACATCTGGCTAATTGAAAAAAATTTTTTTATAGAGACGGGGTCTTGCTCGGTTGCCCAGGTTGATCTTGAACACTTGGGCTCACGTGATCCTCCTGTCTTGGCCTTCCAAAGTGCTGGAAGTACAGTCGTGAATCACTGTGCCCAGTCTCTAAGGACATTAAAGAACCCATTTGACTGAGGGAATATCCTCTCGTGAATAAGTATTTATCAGATTTGCAGCATTCGTTGAATGATGGGATTAGTTTGCGCCCTTGAGTGTCTTTGTCTATTATGACCGTTTAAAGGAATTTTTTTTCTTTTTTTGAGAAGGAGTTTCCCTCTTGTTACCCAGGCTGGAGTGCAATGGCATGATCTCGGCTCACCGCAACCTCCACCTCCTGGGTTCAGGCAACTCTCCTGCCTCATCCTCCTGAGTAGCTGGGATTACAGGCATGCACCACCATGCCCAGCTAATTTTTTGTATTTTTAGTAGAGACGGGGTTTCACCATGTTGACCAGGATGGTCTTGATCTCTTGACCTCATGATCCACCCGTCTCGGCCTCCCAAAGTGCTGGGATTACAGGCGTGAGCCACCACGCCCGGCCTGTTTAAAGGAATTTTTAGCCCATTTGTGGGAGGATAGTGCAATTAATCATAATAAATTGACATGTATTACCTAAAGGGATATAAGAATGCCTAATAAAAGATGGTTTTAGGTGAAGGGGGCTGTTCAATTCAAATACTTTTTCTCCCTATTTTTCTAGGAGGTTCCTGGGGCCTGGCCCCCAAGACTATGAAGAGCCTTTGCTGAGGCCATGAGGGGTTACCATGGCGACCGAGGCAGCCATCCCCGCCCAGCCCGCTTTGCTGACCAGCAGCATATGGACGTGGGCCCAGCTGCCAGGGCCCCATACCTGTTGGGCTCCAGGGAGGCCTTCTCCACTGAGCCCCGCTTCTGTGCCCCAAGAGCTGGCCTGGGACACATTTCTCCTGAAGGGCCCCTGAGCCTGAGTGAAGGGCCATCGGTAGGCCCTGAGGGAGGGACAGGGGGGGCCGGGGTTGGGGGGGGTAGCAGCACCTTCCCCAGGATGTACCCTGGCCAAGGCCCCTTCGACACCTGTGAAGACTGTGTGGGCCACCCACAGGGCAAGGGTGCCCCCCGCCTGCCTCCCACACTCCTGGATCAGTTTGAAAAGCAGTTGCCAGTTCAACAAGATGGCTTCCACACGCTACCATACCAGCGAGGGCCAGCAGGGGCGGGGCCCGGGCCAGCACCAGGGACTGGCACTGCCCCAGAGCCCCGCAGCGAGAGCCCTAGCCGCATCCGGCACCTGGTTCATTCTGTGCAGAAGCTCTTTGCCAAGTCTCACTCTCTGGAGGCGCCGGGGAAGCGGGACTATAACGGGCCCAAAGCTGAGGGAAGAGGTGGCTCTGGAGGAGACAGCTACCCCGGCCCGGGTTCCGGAGGCCCCCACACCTCCCACCACCACCATCACCACCACCATCACCACCACCACCAGTCCCGGCACGGCAAGAGGAGCAAGAGCAAGGACCGAAAGGGGGATGGGCGGCACCAGGCCAAATCCACAGGCTGGTGGAGCTCCGATGACAACTTGGACAGTGACAGCGGCTTCCTGGCGGGTGGGAGGCCCCCTGGGGAGCCTGGTGGTCCCTTCTGCCTGGAGGCTCCAGATGGGTCCTACCGGGACTTGAGCTTCAAGGGGCGCTCGGGCGGGTCAGAAGGCCGCTGCCTTGCCTGCACTGGCATGTCCATGTCACTGGATGGACAGTCAGTCAAGCGAAGTGCCTGGCATACCATGATGGTCAGCCAGGGCCGGGATGGATACCCGGGGGCCGGGCCAGGCAAGGGGCTCCTGGGTCCAGAGACCAAGGCCAAAGCCAGGACTTATCACTATCTGCAGGTGAGGCTTTTTTGGGGTAAGGGAACAGGGTCCTTGACCTTCACCAGTCTTGTCAACCAGGAAGCAGTGGGAAGGGTTGGGTGGAAGCCAGCTGTCCCAGTGATGGAGGGCCTGGATGCAGGGAGGCTCTGGTCTGCCCCACTGGATCACCCTGAGCTCCTTTGGGGCTTCACTTTTCCCATTTGTGCACTGAAGGGGCCCTTCTATTCTAATGATGTGTCAATGCCTGGAAGACCTCCCCTTGACCTACTGTTTTGGACAGACTGTTCTGATCTCTGTCTTGGGGGGTTGGAGGCATAATGAAGTTGAGGGCAGACAGTGAATAGGATGGTGAGGTACAGCTTAGCTGTAGCTGCTCTCAAGACTGAAGGTTGGCAGTTGCCAAGCAGTTCTCCTGCCCCAAAGCCTTTTCCAGCCCTCTTTTCTGCTGTAATCCGGGTAGCCCACATGTTTGCATATGAAGATCAGTTATTTCCAGAATGTGACTCTGTTGAGGTTTGTCATTCTGGGGTACCTGTGGTGGGACAGCCGAGTCTGTAGAGGAGTCCTGGGATCCTGTCTTATGTGTTTTCCTAGACTAGGGGACAAACCGGGTTTCAGCCCTTTCAGGTGGGGCCTTCTGGGAAGTGGATGGTGCACGCTGTTCTCCTTCTGTCTTACCACCTCTATGGTCTCTGCAGGTGAGGCCAGAGCTCCGATTCTTATTTGCTGTGGAGCCTTCATCCCAGCCTCATCCAGCCCACATTGTTTTCTTGAGCTCTGCTATAATTTTAGGAGGAAAAGTCAGTATGCATTCTGGAAGTCCAGTGTATTTCTGCATTTTACATAGTTGATACTGATCTGTTTAATCAATGAGCATTTCCTGGATGCTGTGGATACAAAGATGAAGACAGGTGCTGCTTGTGAGGAGTTCACAATTTAGAGGGGGACAGACAAGGAAGCAGATAGAATGTAGTGTGTGATGAGGATGAGATATGACAGAACCCTGGGAATCTTGGGAACACAGAGGAGACATCTCACCAACCTGGCAAGGAATGTCCCCAGAGCTGAATCTCAGTGGAGGAGTTGGAGATGTTGGGTGCCGGCTAAATGTGTTCTGGGAAACGATTATACAGCGTGTTCAAAGGTGTGGAGAATAGAGGCTGCGTGTGTCTTTGGGGGACATTGGCATTGCTGGGTAAGTTGTGCACAAGTTAGGGCTCTCCTGGATAACTCGTGAAAGCCCAAGGGAGCATAGAGGGCCACAATGCAAGCAAGAAGGGACTTTTGGAATCAGGACCCTGGTTTGCCCCCTCCCTGGGTAGGGAGGTGCTCTAAGCTAGGAACTGAAGGGTCCAGGCAGGGAACACCCATCCTTTCTCCCCCATAGCTAATTTCTTGCCATCCCTGAAGACTTGCTGCCATTTCACTGCTCCCTGCTGCTTCTCCAGGGCTGCCCTGACCTCCCTGGGGGCTTCCTTTTTAACATGCACCTCACAGTGTCCTGCAGAGGAGCGAGGAGCTCTGCAGTGGCTACAGTGTGGGAACCCTGCAGTGTGGCCTTCCCATCTGCTGGCCTGCCTCTCTCCACCTGCCTGCTGCTCCTCTCTGTAGAGAATGGGGAAGGGAAATGATCTCTCTGGTTTGGACTTCAAGGGCATCTGAGGACTGGGAAGTCTGAGCCCATGTGGAGAAGAACCAAGGGGCTACAGGGACCCTGCAGACAGCATCATGCTCCCCTGGCACAAAAACAGGGGAGGCTAGCCCCATGCGGCCAGGCATCTTTGTTGGTCTCCCAATCTGATTGTTGAAGCCCTGTTTCTCCCACTGGATACCAGCTTTCTCTTAACCCTCTTCCAGAATCCCTCTGTCCACTCTGAGCCCCTGTTTGTTTATGGAGCCTCATCTCTTTGTGTTCCCATCTTCTGATTGAGCCCTAGCCCCTCGAAGAGCCCTGCTCCTCCCTGTGGGTTCCTTCAAGAGACCCCATCTCATCCCGAGTCTCCATCTTTCCCCTGAACCCTATGCTCCCTGAGGTGTGACCCCTTTTGGAGCTCCCATCCCTACCCCATTTAACCTGTTCTTTACAACGAGTGTTTTAAATCCTCCCTACCTCCCCCGGTCCTCTCCCCCACATCTTCACTTACACCTCATTTTCCAAAGTGTAGGCTGACATCATGGACTCCCTCAGCTTCCTGTCAGCATCTCTGTAGATGCATCCAGATTTCCAGCCACCCTCGTCCTCTTCCTTGGCTCACAGGAAAAGCTGGGACCACCCATCCCAGGCTGATCCATCCTCCAGGGCTCAAGTCCATCTCATGACCCCCTTCATCCCTGAACGGCTACCCTCCCCCTGAGATTTAAAGATTATCTTTACTGGCTGTTTCCATCATCCTGAAAACATGTCCAATGTCACTTGCATCCTAAAAAATATTTCTGCAGCCCCATCCCACCTTCCATGTCCTTCGTAATCGAGTTCTTAGAGCATACACACCTGTCCTGTCCCCTTACTGTGGTCTGACTTCCACACTCCCTGTCATTGAAATGCCCTGGCATGGCCACAGATGATCTCTTGAGGGCTGTCCTTAAAAGGTAATTTTTGGTGCTTATATTAATTGTTACCATTTATTGAGCACTTTCTGTGTCCTGGAAACTCTCTATTGGCTCATTTATCTTTGCCACCAACCCTCTGATGTTGGCATACGTATCATGACCAATTCGCCAACAAGGAAAATGACACTTTGAGGTTAATCCGTTTTGCTTAAGTTCACCTAGGCAGCAAGTGATGGGGCCAGCATTGCACATGGATCTTCTAACTCCCGAGCCTGAGTTACTAACCTCTGAACGCACTGTGGCATTTGACATAATCGACTCCTTTTATTCTTGAAATGTCTCCTGTTTCTATGACATGGCATTTTCCTGACTTCCCTCCTACCCCTCTGCCCACTCCTTCTCAGGTGACTTCACAGGCTCCTCTTCCTTTCTTCACAGTCCCTTTTAAAATGTCAGTGGATCTCTGCTCATTTTTCTTCTTCTCTCCCCTGGGCTGTCTCATTCACTGCTATGGATTCAGCTGCTGCCCATGACTCCCACATGTCCGCCTCCAGCCCTGATCTCCCCACTGAATCCCAGAGCCAGACATCCAACCACCTGCTCAACAGTGCTATGCCAAGCTCAAGGTGCTCAACCCTGACCCTATCACCTTTCCCTAGACTTGTTTCTCTGGGGTTCTATGGCTCAGCGAGCGGCAGCACCCTCCCCCAGGTCCTCAGCCAGCAGCCTGGCAGTCTTCCTCGACTCCTCCCGCCCCCTCATACCCCACGTCTAATCAGGCTCACTGATGCTCCTTAACACCTCTCATTTCCATCTCCTCCTCTTCCCCCTCATTGTCATTGTCTTAATTTAGGCCTCATCGTCTCTTGCCTGGATAACAGCATCAGCCTCCTAATTGGTCTTCCTCTCGCCACTTGAGCCTCTGCCCTGCTCCTGGCCCTCCACAATCCAGCCTCTGTTTGGACTGTGGGAGAGCTCTTTCTGCAACACAAATCTGATGTCACTCCCCTACATGAAGCCCTCTGTGGCTCCCCACAGCGGGAAAGAGGAGAGGATTTGGAATGTAAGCAGGTTGAAAGGATGAAGGAGAAGGAGGGGTAGAAGGTTGACTGAGGTCAGGTGATGCCTCACTGCCGGGCGTGGGATTGACACAGGTCACTCTGGCCTTTGATCTTCAACCGCTTGACGCCTGGCATGTCACTCCCTCAGACTCTCTGGGTGGCCCTTAGTTAAGTGCAGAAGGTCTGTGGAGGATGACGAGGTGTCTCTTGTAAGGGAGGGGGACAGCCTGAGACCCTATCTCCCCTTCTGCCTCTGCATGTACCTGAGTGTGCCTGCTCAAGCCAGGGCAGAGCACCTCCCGCTGGCAGTGGGGAAAGAGTCCTGGCCTCTAGATTTACTAGGGTCACGTCTGAGAGACAGAGGCCCCTGTCCCTGCAGGTGCCGCAAGATGACTGGGGGGGTTACCCCACTGGTGGCAAGGATGGGGAGATCCCCTGCCGCAGGATGCGGAGCGGCAGCTACATCAAAGCCATGGGGGATGAGGAGAGCGGAGACTCCGACGGCAGCCCCAAGACATCTCCCAAAGCAGTCGCCCGACGCTTCACCACCCGTCGCTCCTCCAGCGTGGACCAGGCCAGGATCAAGTAAGGACAGGGAGGGCTGCGGGGGCGGTGTGGGGTCGGGAGGCTGACGTGGGATTTCTGTGGGAGGTGTGTGTAGAGTGAGTGCCAGTCGGGTAGCCTGCTTAGGGTTCAACTGGGGTGTCTCACTCCTCTCCATGTAAAGGGAGGGCCTTGGTGAGAGTCCCTCTCTGGTGCCTAATTGGAGGAGTCTCTTTACCTAGGGTCTCCTAAGGGATCTCTCTTTGGGGGTTCTGAGGAATAGGACTTGCTCAGGGGCCCCCTTGCTTTCATCTCCTCTCTCCCACCTCCTAGCAGTCCACTGTTGTGACTCTGGAATTTTGGCTTTTTCCAGCTGCTGTGTCCCACCCCGGATCCACCCCCGGAGCTCCATCCCTGGCTACAGCCGTTCCCTCACCACCGGACAGGTAGGGAAAGGCCCAGACGCCTGGAGGAAAGAGTGAAAAGGGGATTCAATCCCATGCTCAGCCAAGGCCTTAAAATCAGGGGGTCTGCCCAGGGAGAGAGCTCAGGCCTGGCTCTGGGGAAACTGGGAAACCTGCCCTAGGACTTCTGGAGCTGACTCAGGCTGGGAATCTCAGAGAATCACAGCCTTAAAACCCACCAAGTGTCCTCAAAGTGATGAGCTTGTAAGGGCAACGCCTATGCACTGGGGCTCTCCAGGCCTCATTGCTCCCACCCTGCCCCCATGTAAAACGTAGGATTGATTTGTACAGACAGGGCACAGGCCATGCTGCAGTCTCAGAGATGATCTGGGCCTGATTTCTGCCACCCTGCCCCTCTATCCTGTGGAACCACCAGCAAGAGACTTTACTTTTCAACACTTCTGTTTCTCATCTTTAAAATGGCAATGGTAGGGACAGTTATTTCACAGGGGGTTTTGTGAGAGTTCAGTGAGAAAACGTATGCAAACGCAAGGTACTTGGCCCGAAAATGGCGTTTTATAAATGTGAATTCCATATCTAAGTGTGGACTTTCCTCTTAATTAGACAGAGGCAGCACCGTTTAGTAATGAAACACGTGAAATGGTGTTGAATTCCAGCTCGGCTCCTTACCAGCTGAGTGACCTGGGGCAAGTTACTTGACTTTTTTGAGCCCCACTTTCCCTTTTTAAAAATAGGCATCATAATAGTGTTCTTGGCACATAGCCAGCACTCAATAAAGGTTCGCTATTTTTACTGTATGCTAGGGAAAATGCAATGCAAAAGACTGTCCACATTGACTCCCATTGTTCACCGCTGCAGTCTCTCAGTATTTCTTTGCTACATTGCCTGAACTGGGGAATCTGATTGGCGCAGCTCTCTTCGCATCAGACCAGCCTCTGTTGCTACACCCACGAGTTAATGCTTAGCCCTCATTTTACTTGACCCGTCAGCAACATCTAACAAAGTTGAAGATTCCCTCCTTCCTGAAACAGTTTACTAGGTTGGCTTAGAGGACACCAAAAGCTCTACATTCTCCTAGACTCTCTCCTGGGCTGCGTATCCTCAGTCTGTGTCTTGGGTGTCTCTATAATTCCCCAGGATCTAGACACTGGAGCTTTCTAGGGCTCAGTCCCTGGACCTCTCTCTATACCTATTCCTTGGGTGATCTTGTCTGGGCTCATGGCTGAGGGCCTGATGACTAACAAATATATATCTCCAGCCCGGACTCTCCCGTAAAGGCCAGGCATGTATGTCTAACGGTGTATTGAAATCTCATTTGGATGTCTAGTAGACATCTCAAACTTAAGATGTCCAAAACGAAACTGCTGATGCACACCCCTTCCCCAATGCCCTCCCACCCCTCACTGCCCCAATTGCTGCTCTATCCTCTGAACTCTCCATTTCAGACAATGACAACTTTATCCTTCTAGAAGCTCTGGTTAAAAGCCTGAAGTCAGTCTTGACCACCTTCTCTCTCTCACAACTCACCTCCAGTCCTTCAGCTGATCCTGCTGGCCCCACCTTTAAAATACATCCAGGATCCCACAACCACTCCTCACCACCTCCACTGCCACCGGTTCTTCCTGGCACCATGTCATTTTGTCTGGACAATGGCACTGCCTTCTAGTCGGTCTCCTGCATTTGCTCTTGCTCCCTTTCTTCCTCTAATTACAGCCTGCATGATCTTTAAAAGATAAAATCACACTCACTCACTCTTCTGCCCAAAACCCTCACCTTGCTCAGAGTAAACATCAAGAACCTAACCATGACTTTCAAGGCCTGCATGACCTGATGACCTAGCTGGAGGAGAGCGGCCTCTGAGTCCCTCTCCTAATTCTGCTCCCTTCCCTCCCACTACAGCCACGCTAGGCCCACTCCCTACGGCCTTTGCATTTGCCACTACCTTTGCCTGGATGTCACCTTCCCAGACACTCCCATGGATCACTTCCTCACTTATTTCAGGTCTTTTCCCAAATGCTCTAATATTTTAATTTAATCTCCCTTCCAGCATTTCCTGTTCCCCTTTCCTGTGCTGTCATTGTTGAGGTCTCCTCCTCCTTCCTCTGCCCTTTCTCCTTCTTCTTAGCACTTTGCACTATCTAACATCACATATACTTGACGTATTTAGCTTCGAGCTATGGCTTATCATCCTTTCTTTATAGAAGATGAAAAAAGTTTAAAGTACTAGAGATGTCACCCTATTATGTCTTGTAATACTTTTTCCCCATATATGTGTATATATACATTTTAGTATTTAGTCTATTTTTTATTTTGTTTAGTATTTGCCTAGAACACCTTTTTCTGTCTTTTACTTTCAAGTTTTTTGTCTATGTCTCAGGTATATTTAAAAAAAATAGTTTATAGCTAGATTTTACTTATATCCATTCTGATAATTGCTTGAGAGTTTAGTACATTTATATTTATTGTGATCACTGATAAGCTGTGATTACCCCTCGGCCTAAACCTAGGGTACTGTGGTGATCCTAACTCTAACCTGTGGGTTTATTTCTGTCATCTTATTTTGTGCCTTCTATTTATCTTGCCTTTGGGCTTATGCTTTTCTGCTCCTTTGCTGCCTCCTTTTGGTTTGAGTTTTCTTTATTTTTCTCCCCACCAAATCCCACACTGGTTTAGTAGTTACATATTCTATTTCATTCTTTGTGGTTACCCTTATAATTTTGATATGCATATTTGACTTAATGTCTGAAGCTGACAGTTTTTCTGTACTCCTCCTGAACAATGCAGAGACCTTAGGACATTTCGATTTTGATGACCTCTTCCCTTCTTGTTCTTCTTTTTCTTTTGGGCAACAAAAATTTATTTTCTCAGAATTTGGTGGCTAGAAATCTGATCAAGGTGTCAGCTGGAGTGGTTTCTACCATTCAGTGACTTGTATTTTTATATTTTTTATGTTGTTGTTTGGAGAACAAAACATTTTAAATTTGATGATGCATAATTCAATTTTTATCTTCTTGATTGTGCTTTGGTGTAAAATTTAAGAAATCTTTGTGTAATGCAAGGTCACAAAAATTTACTCTAATGTTTCTCCTAAGAATTTTATAGTTTAACATTTATATTTAGATGTATGACCCACTTTGAGTAGTGTGTGTGTGTGTGTGTGTGTGTGTGTGCGCGCGCACTTCTGCGTATGTATGTGATTCGAGTTAGGGGTCCAGTTTTATCTTTTTGCATGTGGATATCTGATTTTCTCAGCATCATTTGTTGAAAAGGCTTTCTTTACTCATTGAAATTTCTTGGCCCCTTTTTCAAAATCAATTTACCATAAATGCATGTGTTTATTAATGAATCTTAAAATTTATTCCAATGATCTGCGTGAGCCTGTCTTTAATGCTATTGCCACATGCTTTGATTGCTGTAACTGTGTAGTAAGGATTGATTTTGGTAAGTTGAAATTATACAGTTTTGTTACTCCTTTTAAAGATTGCTTTGTGTTTTGTGCTTCCTTTGCATATACACATGGATTTTGGGTAGGCTTGTTGATTTCTGTAAAAAATATAGCTTGGAATTTGCAGGGATTGCTCCAAATGTGTAGATTAATTCATGAGGTATTGTATTCTTAACACTATTAAATATTATTGTTCTTGAATATCAGATGTATTTCCATTTATTCAGTTCCTATTTTATTTCTTTCAGCATTTACTTTACTTTTAATTTTTATTATAAATTGACAAGTTGTAGGTGTGTATATTTATGAGGTATGAAGTGATGTTATGATTTATTAATACAATGTGGAATAATTAAATCAAGTGAATTGACGTACCCATCACCTCAAATCCTTAAGTGATCTTAGGACACCTTAATTTCAATGACTTCTTCCCTTCTTGCATGGACTTGCTGCCCAGCATTTCAGATCTACCTTTTAACCTGTCAAATTAGTCTTTATTATTATTGTTACTTTCTACGTTATTAGCTCTTGATTATATATACTCACATCTCTACCTTTTTTACTCTTCAGTCTACTTCTTTACATCTCATTATTTCCTCCTAAAGTATATTCTTTTTTTTTTTTTTTTTTTTGAGATGGAGTTTCGCTCTTGTTACCCAGGCTGGAGTACAATGGTGCAATCTCGGCTCACCGCAACCTCCGCCTCCTGGGTTCAGGCAATTCTCCTGCCTCAGCCTCCTGAGTAGCTGGGATTACAGGCACGCGCCACCGTGCCCAGCTAATTTTTTGTATTTTTAGTAGAGACGGGGTTTCACCATGTTGACTAGGATGGTCTCGATCTCTTGACCTCGTGATCCACCTGCCTTGGCCTCCCAAAGTGCTGGGATTACAGCTTGAGCCACTGCGTCCGGCCTAAAGTATATTCTTTAGTAATTTTTTCAGTGAATATCTGTTAGTAGCAAACGTTGGCTTTAACAAAAAATATATTTTACTCATACTGTTTGATACAATTTAGCTTATTATGGGAATTCTAGCTCAGCATTTATTTTCTCTTGGTGTTTTGAAGATATTCTTTTGTCATCCGTCTGTTGTTGCTGTTAAGGAGTTGGCTAGCAACTTGATTGTCTTTGTAGGTAGTTTTAATTCCTCAAAGGTTGCTGTTGAGATCTTGCTTTGATTTTATTGTTTTGCAGTTTTCGCTATGCTATGTTCATGTGTGTGCTCCGTAATCTGTGGATTCATGTTTTTCAACAATTTGGGAAAATTCTCTCATGTTATAGTTTGCATAGTATCATAGTATATCTTTTTCCCGTTCTTTTACTTTCAACCTGTTAAGGTATGTCTCTTGTAGACAGCATCTAATGAGTCTTTTTTTTCTTTGTCTTACCACTCTGCCTTTTGAATGAGTATTTCATCCATTTATGTTTAATTTAATTTAATTTATTTAATTTGTTTTGAGGCAGCATCTTGCTCCGACATTGAAGCTATAATGTAGTGGCATGAACATAGTTCACTGCAGCCTTGACCTCCCAGGCTCAAGCAATCCTCCCACCTCAGTTCCACAAGTAGCAGGGAC